TATTCTCCTGGAAAACTGTTTTTATAGTACTCAGGATTATTTAAGTACTTCAATTATGCCGATTTAGATTTGATTTTATTTCATCTGACATGTGAAGCTCATGTTTATACATAATATTTGTTTTTTAACACTTTCAAAAATTTCAGACTGACTATTGTAATGTTCAAAATTATCTTTCATTTTATTCACAATTTATGATTCAATATTTTTACTTATGACTAGTTTTTTTTCTATGTATATTTTTAACTGACTTGCAACAAACATTCAAGTGTAAAGTGGTCAAATAAATATATCTATCTATTTATCTATGAATTTTCATCATGTATCGGCCAATTGCATCGAAAGTTCTTGTGTTAGATAAAAAAAATGAAAAGATATACGCTTAATAAATTATTTTTGAGTTAAAAAAAAACGTTTTTTATGAAATTCTGCTTATTTGGACATGAAATAAAATACTGACAACAAAAAGGTAATTTCCTAATACACCAATGCCAGGCAACTACATAATAAAATTGAATTGAAACCAATGAACAACAAATTCCCATGTAATACACGAGCATTTTTCTTCATTCGGTACACCACAAAGCCATTGTGTGAACATTAAATGCATTCCATGTTCGCTAATTAACCCATGTCAGAATATTTGTGAACTCTTCTTCTTCATACAACACATACATTCACGGCAGAGCATCTCTCGGTACTCTTTCAGTCACGACCAAATAAATTATAGTACCCAAATTGATTCCCATGGCACAGAAATTAATTTCGTTCTCAACTAGTCATGTTGAGATCGTGCTTGAAATAGTCCAGTCGATTCGAATTCTTTAGCTAATGAGAAAAAAAATCGATGAATGTGCGAATGAGATCATGACTTGTAATTCTCTAATTGGGGCATGAAATTTAAAGAAAGAATAATCGTCTCTATTATTTTCAGCAACGATTAATCTTGCAAAATGCGATTGAATAATTTGGAAACAAAGGGTGAATGTATAGAAGATTTGCACACTATTCAACTGTTTGGGCATGTGCAACTGGAACATAACCCCTGATTGTTTTCTTCAAAACAGATAAACGATGAAAGAGATTTCGAAACAATTACAATGAACAACTAAACTATTGAAAATAATTTTCTCACACCAGAACTAAAAAACTGTCTTGACGAGTGTTTCGCCAACCTGATAGGCGTCACCAACAGATTATTCAATATCTAAAAAGTAGCTACATCATATGGAATATAGACATTGAACGTACAGTAAAATCTTACAGTGATCGAAACAGTGAACAATCAATAAAAGCTATCGTACTGAGTCTTGGCCGGTGGGAGAAATCGTATCTGCGTAAAGTTTGGGTCGTAAAATTGCATATGTTTATGCAATTTATTCTTTAACTTCATCAGTAACTGAATACGGTCCTGAATTTAGATGTTTACGGCTTGAATAATCTAAGAGACTGATAACAGATTTCTACATATCTACTGCACAACTCGAGGGAGTGGCTTCTCACCGACCATGACTAAGTCGGGCAGCTGTAAATATGAAATTGGAAGAACGATCTGAGATCGAAACCTTGAGGAATACCGAAGTTATGTGTAGATCTACTTCCAATACAGGAAACTATAAAATTCCAACAAGCACCGTGATGAGAATATTTTCATTTATTTTATCCAAACCACTGCTGAATTCATTTGCAGATGTGACTTTATTTAACGGAAAATCAATGGCTTTCATTAAAAACTAATGAAGTTCCTTTCAAAACATAAAGTTCATTTTTTTAGATTAACTTCATATTGAAAACTCATCGTGTTTCGTTTTCATTTCATTTCATAGCAAGTCGATCTGTGATGACTGGCCTAATGAAATAACATTGTATCGGATTGAGTCTTTCTTTTGTTTTCTGGACACACATCCGATCTATGAATTATTTATGGAGAACGAATATATTCAGATGTCTAGTGTGGCGATTGTTTACAAGCTTGAATGATTTGAGGAGGGCGTGATTTGACAGCTCATGTCAGTCATGATTGGTAGACCAAAGATGAATGTTTTTAATACAATCAACTTCACTTTAGATGAAAGATGATAACACATTTTTGCATAACATCGAAAAAGTTTATAAGATGACATATGATGCGAAATATTCTGAGCAAGTAGACTAACCTAAAATTACGTTGGCAATTTTTTCTGTTTAGGTACACTTTATATCACTTATCATGAGAGTTTTCTATGACTACTGAAAATATCGTCAATTATTTGACCATTTCTTGTTGGATAAAGAACTCCAGTTTCATCCTACGAGTGAGTAACGATTCTTCACTTCGAATCAATCACAATTGATCAGGTACATAGAGTGCCACCAAGATTTAGCCAAAGCCTCGGTAGATAATAACATTATCCTGAGGTGGGTTAAAGGGCACGACAGGAGTAAAGGTAATCGCATTGCCGACTCTTTAGCCAAGGAAGCGGCTGGACTAAGAATTTTAGGACCAAGTAGCACCCACGGCCTGATGACTTCAACAATTGCGGAACTAGTTACACCCATGCTCAATCTTTAAAGAGATGGGATGAAATCAAAGGATGTAATCTTGCCAGGATCACCTTGGGCGACCCTGGGAAGCTGGCGCCGAAGAAATATCTGGCGATGACCAGGAAAAATCTACGCCTTATAGTAGGATTTCTGACTGGCTACTGTCAGCTAAGGAAACACCCACATAATATGGGGCTAGTGAACACACCTCTATCCAGGATGTGTGAACAGGAAGATGAGATTGTCAGGCATGTCCTGTGCGAGTGCCCGGAGTTATCGTCAATAAGAGAGTGTGTGTTCGGCGAGTCTTGGCCTACACCTGCCGATATAAAGAAGATGTCTCCCAGGACAGGATGGACGACGACCTAGGAGGACAACTCCTCGGGAGGATGTACAATGGGTCACATGTGGCCTAAGTGCATGGGCTTACACTCACCCTCCGTACTCTACAGATACAGATGACCAGGTACATCACTCAGACTCTTCGAGGCCAATCACATACGAGTAAATTGATTACTTTACAGTTTAGTTTGAATGATTTTTAATTGCAAGTAACTTTTAATAATTTATCATTTCAAAATTGTTCTAAAACTTCGAACTCAATCACTGAGCTGACAGTTCGTTTTAAAAGAAACATGGAGCTGAAAAGTGAATGCCGGTATACCCCAGCAGAAATTTGTCATGTGGCGAAGTTTGTCACTTAATAATAAAATGAAAATTAGTTAGAAACTCAAATAACTTTGTCACACTAATTGGTAAAAAGCATCGTGGGTTCATATGCACACCAATATGTCTTGGTACAATCACGTCGCAGGAATTGCAAAGGCTGCTTATCAAAAGCTTGGAACACTGTTCCTAACCAGAGAACTCTACACACCTCAGCAACTTTTGATGCTTTATAAAGCTCAGACCAGACCTTCTTTGGAGTATTGTTCTCATGTATGGAGCTCAGCCCCCAACATACCCTGCAGGTGCTGGATTCCACCCAGAAAAGAGCCATCCGCCCAGGGCCGTAGCGAAAAGATAAACCAGGGGGGAGGGATCCAAATTTTTCCAACCCCACCAGCAAAATTTCCCAACTTTCCAAAAAATGAAAGCCGATACTACTATAATATATCAATTTCCTTACTTTTGCTATCCAAAGGTTGGCTAAATGCTTATGGGTATGCACAAACAAAAATAAATTTTGTTAATTATAAAAATAATAATGGGAATTATTCTACTTTGGACCAAGGTCCTTGTTCTTCCACTATATCCACCATGTATAGGAATATTCAATACAAATGAAAGGAATTAACACTTAAATAATATTGTGCTTATTGTTTTCTACTATTATTTTTTATATCTTCACGGCCCGAAATTTCCCAACTTTTCCAAGTCGAAAAAACAGCGAAAAGTTGGGAATTTTGTAAAATTGTCACTTCAAAATTTGTGGACTGTTCTCTTACTTGGGAGAAATTAAACTTTTTTGAAGTTTTCAAACAACTCAGAATTTCAAAGTATGGAATCTCCAAGTTATACATGTCGGGAAATCCAAACCTTCTCTTGGTTTTTTCCCTTTTCTTATTACCTTCCCCTTTCTTTTCTCTCATTGTTATTTTTTAAATTTTTATTCATTTTTTTGTATTTTTTTTTTCTATCTTCACGGCCCAAAATTTCCCAACTTTTTCCCAAGTCGAAAAAGCAGGGGGGAGGCTCCCCCCCCCCCCCATGGCGACGGGCCTGCATCCGCCAGATTGGAGACGCGAACATCACGTGCAATCTTGATAGCCTGGAACATCGAAGATAGTTTGGAGATTTGTCTCTCTTCTATAGATACTTTCACGGAAGTGTTCAAATGACTTGGCACATTTGATTCCTCTAAGAGCGGTACATATTAGAAACACGCGACGAACTGTGGCTGCTCATCGACTACCGTTTTTAAACTTTTTTCAATCACACATTTTTCAACCATATAATGTATGAAATTACAAAAGTAAAAAAAAATTTGGAAGATTTGCAACATTTCTATCTCGTTGAATTATATACTTTTATTTGACTTGAATTAATTCATGAACGAAGACTTGAGGGTTGTTTTTCATGCTGATATATTTTCAATTTGTTTTTCAATTCATTCCAATTTTTTTTTCGAATTTCCTTTTTTCAGGCGGTACAGATAAAACTTCAAAGATCTCTCATATTAGGAAGCAGACATTTCAATAGAAAAATAAATCATAATCCATCATCAAAACAATAATGATAATGAACTTGACGACATAATCCTACCCATGGGAGAACGAAACCGACACGCCGATTATCAAATAACTGGTATATGAGAAAAAATCCAGTTATGCAAATTGCTAAATTGAGATAAATGCATTTCCTAAATTAGCGTATCCATCCTTCATTTTAAATTGGCCATTACAATAGCGACAATCCCATTTCAGCGGATATTATGCGTCCTTGGGTCAATTATTCGCTTCATTTGCGTCCATCTGACCTGATGCTCGTCTTTCAAACGTTCCATTACACAACACGCCAGCACTGTTGATAGAAGTGATGACAACGACACAACTACAAATATGAATGCCGAAATAAGAGAAGTTAAAACAGTAGACAGTACTAGAAAACACGAAAATGATAATGGTCTGAAAATAGCGGAAAACCATATAGGAAATAACGGGGTGAACGTCTCTAACAATAGTGAAAACGGTAATGTGATTATAAGTGACAATGGAGATCAGAAAAAACAAAGTAGTGAAGAGGAATCAAAAGAGGGAACTGGAAACAATGTAAATAGAAACGAAGGTGAAAAAAGTAACACTAGTTCAAAGATCAAACCCGACAGGAAAAAAAGCAGAAGTGCTGCGCAGGCTGAAGACTTAAATGCTGTTGGTGATGGAGCTGAAGTGAAAAAAGAAAATGGAAGTCAGCAGACCCCTCCAACTAAAAGTGTTAGAAGAAAAAAAATTGTTAGGAGCAATACAGTTCCTAATGATGTTCTATATGATTCCCAAAATAGCCTCAATGGGTGAGTAGAGTCTGTCGAAGTAGTAGCCATAAATGGATATCTCTAGCTCTATTTTTCATTAAATTGTCAACACATTCATGTGCATATATATTTGTTTGATTTTTGTGGATGATATGATTGAATTGATTTTCATTCAACTCAATACTAGTTATTTTGAATGGTTCTGGAAGAAAAAAAACTCGAGTTTTAGATAAAGTAAAATGTGATTAATACCAATCTGTTCTCGAAAACAAATACAATGTCAATGGAATACATGCTCGATAAACTTCCAATAGACAACTATGTAGTATAAAACGAATTGAATAATTTTTTTTTATTTTTATTGACAAAAAGCATAACTTCAATGAACATGACAAGCAACTTGAGTGAAGAACTTTTCCAGGTATTATGAAGTGAGAGCGGTTTATAATATGATATCCAAAGTGCTGATTAAATTTCAGCTACGACATGTAATACCATATTGGGCAACATGCAATTCAATCCTAAACTTTTTTTTGATATTACAGAAAAAATATGTGAGGTGCATGTGGAGTGTCAAGTCTAGAGAGTCCTTCGGAAATGTTTGCATTGTGAATAAAATTTCACTAGTCATTGTACACTTCATTTTTGAAACGGTTTACTTGTACATAAATATAAATAAATCCTTATGCTACTGGCTATGGCTTTTATAGTTCATGGCTTTCTAACCATACAAAATAATTCAACGACACATTTCATCTATTACTATGGTGGTGAATTATTTAATCAAATAGCATAAGATGTAAGGTCTGAAAACCTTCAAACCCCATAATAGTGACAAAATTACTTTAACGAATGTTTATAATACTTTCTTTATATTTATTTTTTTAAGACTTTATTATGCAAATCTTCAGGCAATAAAGTATATTTTGATTTCGAATTGATTTGGTAAATATAATGTCTCTGTTCTGCAATCTTCAGAAACCCTCTCGAATCACCTTTCACAACAACCCAAATTACTGATCATACGTCAATACTGACAACTGCCACACTCAAAATTCCCGTCAAATAAACGTCACTCGTAGTTCGCTAATCCAATGACTTTTTTACAGCAGTAAAATGTTCAGCTGGCTCAACAGAGCCCCCGAGGTTCGCCCAGAATGCTACGAAAACGTCATCGAAGGTCTCAAAAGCATCTACAGGAACAAGATGCTGCCTCTGGAGCAGCACTATCTTTTCAACGAGTTTCACTCTCCCCCTTTGAATGACGCGGACTTCGACGCCAAACCTCTGATATTGCTCGTGGGGCAGTACTCCACCGGGAAGACGACCTTCATCAAGTATCTGTTGGAGAGGGACTTTCCGGGAATGAGGATTGGTCCAGAGCCTACGACCGATAGGTTCATTGCCGTCATGTATGGTGAGAATGAAGGAGTGATCCCTGGAAATGCTCTGGTAGTGGATCCCAAAAAGCAGTTCAGACCTTTGTCTTGTTTCGGTAATGCTTTTTTGAACAGATTTCAGTGCTCTTTGTTGAAGTCAACTGTACTGAAAGGCATGTCCATCATAGATACGCCTGGGATATTGTCAGGTATGTCTTATTTGATCTCTTTGGAAAGTGTGGAAAACTTGTTAGCATGTTTTGTAAATTCTCAAATGGACATAAGATTTATAGATGAAATATTTGAACACGTATACATTAACTATCAAGTCAAAAAGAGTAGCAAATGTAAAACTCAACCATAAAGAGACAATAAATAACAAAATCAAAGCCGTTTCAAAAGCATACAACAAATTATGGAAGTACAAAATTTTTATTCAATAGAGAATCCAAACAATTCTATGAGAAAAATCATATATACTATAAAAGTATCTATTGATTAATTAGACAGACCTATATGATATTTCCAAACGTGTATGGAAGTTCATGACGCCAGTTGACAAGATGAACTAAAAGTTATGAATTCGAAAATGCAACACTTTGTTTTCTAATGGTTTGAGTGGAGAAATAGCACCAATTCCATTAGATTTCAAGTGAAGATTGGATGTTATCAAAGATTTCTTTTATAGAAGTTTCTATTAACCGTTTTGACGAGAACCTTACAGGTAAAATCGAAATAAACCATCTTCATGAGAAATAATTAACTTATACCTAGTTGGTACAAAAAATGGTAACTACTTTTCCATTAGGATATAGAAAAATATGGAATGTAAGCAATTGAAGATGAATTAGTAAATGACATATTAGAAAAATATGTAGTTGAACTGTGGAATCTTGAAAAATGAGAATTAAAACTTCCACTTTTATTTGTAACTAACATTACAGCAGTTTCGTCATTTTGCAGTTATGTCAATTCCCATCAAAAGTGGTAAAAAAGAGGAAGTTTCAATTCTCATTTTTCATGATGATCTCGTAACACGTAGTAACATCTTCACCGGCAGCAGGAGGTTGCATATCTCAATGAAGATCTAGGGGTGAAAGTAACCAGGTTCCAGTAATGTCAGGACAGACATTTCCTCTTTCTCCTTCGATAAGTTTGTTGGGTTAAAATGAACGCCAGTTTGTCGTGGCACAATCATGTCGCTGGAATTGCAAAGGCTGCTTTTCAGAAGCTTGGAACACTGTTCCGAATCAAAAAACTGTAGAAACCCCAGCAACGTTGATGCTTCATAAAGCTTAAATCAGACTTTATTTGGTGTATTGTTCACATGTATGGAGCTCTGCCCCTAAGCATACTCTGAAGTTGCTGGATTCCATCTAGAAAAAAACTATCCGCCTAATTGGAAACACGAACATCACTTGCAACCTTGATAGTCTGGAACATCGAAGAAGGGTTAGAGATTTGTCTCTCTTTTATAAATACTTTCACAGGTGGCGTTCATCTGACTTGGTACATTTGAAATATGCAACGGACTGTGGCTGCTCATCGTTTGAGGTTCAACTCAGTAACCCTCGAATTTCACTATTTAAGAACTGCTTTTATGTGGAATGAACTTCCTGAGAAAGTTTTTCCAAATGAATTTAATCTCCAGCCAATCAAATCCAATGTGAATCGCACAGGCACCGCTCTTAGTGCGTCTTGAGGATATTCCTGTAGTGCTTGTTGTGTTTCTTGAAAAAATTTGTTAGAAAAACTCTTGTAGAAAATAGGTGTCTGATATCGTGGTTGAAAAATGTTTTTCTGTGATTTCCTTGCATTCCGAAATTTCTAACCTGTTCGAGAATTCCTCATAGGTACCTCCATTTTGTATTCTTCAGTTGACTTTCCTCAAAGTGCGTAACTGGAGAATTTTAAAATCGCACAACAAATTGATTCTAAATAGAAAAAATGGTAACTTGATAATTCTAAACTGATTTAAATATCAGATACAATATTCTACAAGAACGGAGATATTTATAAACATCCAATGAAGTTATTTTCGGAATAAAATATAAAGTCAAAGTGAAGCCGTGGTCCAACAATAAAATCCTCTTTTAAAAGCATAACTACATTTTGAATATAATGTGGGTTAATGAAAGAGAAATGCCGACGATGACGATGCTTTGTTCTAGAAAGGAATAAACTGAATATCTTACTGCTGTCTGCCTACGACATGAAGTCGCTTTCTATTGACAATACACTAATGCACAGAAATAAAAACATTACTTTTCATACACTCAACTAACAAATATCCGGAACAAATACATAAATTGACATCGAATACATATTGTCATCGAATGGAACATTCAACTGTTTCCACGTTTCTCATGCTCGTAAGTGATTCATGGTGGTAAAAAAACTGGAAACAGTTCAATATCGCAAACGTTTGCATTAGGCTTCGTACAAATGAAAATTTAGTTACTTTCGGATGATAAATTTACGGAAAAGTGTACATTTTGCC